TCATCATGGTGGGTGGGCCCAGAGCAGGCACAGGGTGGGCTAGGGTTGGGGGCTGTGTGGGTGGGTTCCAGCTGGTCTGCAGCTGGTGCGCTCCAGTTGGGGTGAGTCTGGATTGGGTGTGGGGCAGGCCAGGGCTGTGTGCTCAGCTGCTGCTGGGCACTGATGGTTGTGAGCTGCCGTATGGTGTGTGGGGTCTGGGCTGTTGCGCAGGGAGGGGTGTGGGTGGAGGTGGGTGCTGATTAACCCACAACACATCCCTGAAAACTGCCTATGTGGCCCGTGGGCCCAAATAATTGCCCACCTCTGTGTTAGTCAGTTTAGTTCTATTACTATTTTAATGGTTTTATGGAATTTATGGAAATTAAAGCTTACTAATTATTCACCTCAGAAAGCAATAATCTTCTGATTTTCTCCAAGTATAAGTTAATATATTGAAAGAAAAGGATAAAAGGATAAAACTCCACATCTGACTCAGGTTTTTTTTGTGGTATTTAGCTTAGGCTGCACTTGCTTCTTTCCTAGACCTGAAGAAGAGCACTTTGTGCTCAAAAATTTGTCTACCATCTTCCCCAGCTATATCATTGATTTGATAAAAGATATCACCCCAAAAACAATGCTTTTCAGTTTTTAAAGGATCATCACAAAAACAAATTATATAAGACTGCTTTTTTATTATGGAACCAATTACACTGTTATAAACCATTGGTGTAGGATTTTCATAAAAATACTTGGATTCGTCCCATCTCTAACTCACCCTGAAGGTAAAAATGAGCAAAGTTAGCTTTAAAAAAAATCCCATACTTTAACACATTAATTTAAAAAAATGACAGTCTACAGAAAACACTGGCTATCTGCAGAGGATGACATCAGTATAAGAGGTGGGCATTCAGCTACACAGTAAGCTTTCCTCTATATTTAACAGGGCCCAGGCAGAAGCCCCACAGTTCTAAACAAATTGTCAATGGGCATTGGGACAGGTGTGGGATTTTGAGAAGGGGAGTGTGGCAGAGACAGCTCATTGGTGTGGGCGCTGCAACTGGGGGCATGGACGAGAGTTCTTGATGTGTGCACCCGGCCACAGGTGGCTGACCTATGGCAGAGGCAGTCTTAGTGCAACAGCTTGGTCAGAAAGGACAGCCCACAGGGGAAAAAGCTGAGAAGCAGACTGGGTCAGGGAAAGGCACTGGAGTGGGACGTAGGGAGGATGCAGGGCTAACTTGTGGCATACCTGCCAGAGAAGATGGCCACTACTGCACTATGCAGTTGAAGGGTGGTGCAACTGCACCAGATGGCAATATGTAATTCTTTTGTTTGTACATAAAACCCAATCCCCTCTATAAACATGGAAGCTATTGTGACCCAAGATTCCTAAAAACTACAAAGGCAGTTTAGAATAACTGACATACATGAGGTATATTTGGAGAAAGTTGCAAACCTGCAAAAAATAAAAAGGGTATCCTAGAACACATGCATTGGTACTGCCCTGACTACTGATGGGATGCACGCTGTTTATATGAAGAAATTATCTAGATGTTAGAAAGGGAAGAAGATCCAATCATAAGGAAAACTGTGGTGCCAGGCTAAATTTGGAATAATTAAAATACCTCTATTAATCATTCCAGTCCCATTTCAAAATCTGAACTTCTCTAGTATGTATTGAGGATTCCATTGGTATGATTTCAGGCACAGAAGCAGTTACTCTGAGTTTAAAGGATGATTTAAAACCTGAAAAGCCTGCTGCTCCTAAATTAAATATGGGACAGCTGTTAATAGAAAACTAATTATCCTTTCCCATTTTTTGCCATGTTAATAGAAATTCTATTCTATACCATGTCCACAAGTTCATATAAACTTTGTTCCTAGATTTCTAAATATTGAAATTCTCCAGGTCTAAAAATTATTACTCAATTTATTGTAAACTGCCAGTTTGATAAAAAAAAAAAATCTTCCTCTCTTTGGGTCTTTTCTCCTAGTGTTTTCTCTTTGGAATCATATTTCCAAAATATGTCCATTCTTGTACCTCAAATTTCTAATTTATTACCATAGTTACCTGAATCCAAGGTGACTCTGAATTTAAGACAGCCCTCCAATAATTAGATTCTATACATGGAAAATATATAAATTTATTATAATTTTCCATGTATAGAATCTAATTATAGGATGCTCATCTTAAATTCATATTCTTCCTCCGCCCCTGTACTGGAGAAGCGAGGCAGAAGGTTTGAGTAAATATGGCATCTTAGAAAGCTGAAGTGCTTTGATATTTCATTCACTTTTTGTAACAAGCACTTCTAGAAATTTTAGGAAATACTATTATATAATATTTAATTAATGCAAAAATATTCTTAACCAAAGAGATGATTTAAGCATGTTACAAAAAAGAGGTGCATAAAATTAAAAGCAAATAAATAAAATACTAGCATATTTTACTGTATGCTTCTACTCGGTATACATACCAGTACTAAGACTAATCAAAAACATTTGGGATCAGTAAAACATGCCTACAACTCCATCCAAATTATAAGCACTAACAAAAGTTATACTCTATCAACCCATTCTCCATAGCAGGTTTCCTTCTTTCCACTCAATTACTCAATTTAATTAGGATAACAATAAGTCTTCATAAAAGCACAGCTTTCAAGAACAAAGTGAAGCTTTTTCAATAATATGGCTGAGTAATAAAATAATTAGCTGGATCAAAGGGTGACTACTACCCAGAAAACAGTGTGTTTTGAGATTTTTCACAGCATAAATTTAAAGGGCATAAAGCAGAACCAGGTATATACAGTAGCCATTTCAAAGTATTTATACTTAGGATCTTAGCAGTTTTTTTTGTACTGCTGAGAAGTTATACACTTCCTCTTCCCCCCAAACCCACTTACCACTGCACAAACTGTTATCATCAAAGCCAGTGATAATTTTATTGGTCTCAAACAATTCTTCTGCAGAGCCATAGTTCAACTAGATCGTCACAAATCTCTCTTCTGGAAGAAACAACTTGTCCCGGGCAGGTTTCTGGATTCTTCATATGCAGATTTACTCTTAGACAGGATCACAGTGAATTTCTCCTAGGTGATTTGCAATCCTAGAGCACCGAACTGGTTGCAAATCGTCTCCGCAGATTTTGTCAACAACTGGCTGCTCTGACATTACCTATTCATCTGGTAACTCAGGTAAGGATAGACTGTAATCTCAAGTGAGCTCTAATGACAACCAATTCGCTTTGGGAAAACTCTTGGAGATGTAGATAAGCCCAAAGGTATGACTTCACAGTTTTCACCATTCCATGTTAAATATCTGAAAAGTTCTTGGTATAGCATTTGATTATGTGCGTCATGGAGGCAGCAACCATTGTAGCAATCTTGGGGAATAGAGAATGAGAATGATGTTTTCCAATACAAGTCAGCAGAAAATTATCAGATAAGATTACTCTCCATATTTCCATATCCTAACTATATTATCAAACTGCTGTTCTCCTCCAGCCTTCCTAACCCCACGTGCCTCCTTGTTTATTTCCTTAGAGGGAGATATCTTTTATTTAATCATAAAACTCTGTGGGTGAGACTACATCTTCTTATTTATACTATAAATTGAAGACAGTGGACTGTAAACATAAACGCAAGTTCTGAGAACTGTTAAGTAGTAAAGATGGATTGCTTTTTTTAAATTTTGTACTTTCTTAGTTTTAAGCAACACCCTCTCTCTCCCCTGATTCCCCTGTTTGCAGAAGTAAATAAATAGGAAACTTTGTAGACTATGATTCTGAAAAGGAAATCTCTCTAAGACGGAAACACTCAGCTCTACAGGGGATTGTACTTAAACGTTTCACAGGTAAACTTGATTGTTCATTCCTTGTTTGTTTCATCTGAACAAATTCACAAACAATCAAAATTAAACATTAATCTATAGGTTATTTAAATGTAATAATTATACTGGGAATACTTAATAGTGACAGAAGAATTTAACTTATTTTCTTTAAAACTTCCAGATGGGATTAATAGGCACTAAAATGTAACAGCTACACAAAAGTTACTTTCATTTCTGAGCTGTCAGGGCTGTATAAGGTTTTTGCACTGTTTAAATTTTAAACAAAAATTCTGAACCTTTTGTGGTCTAAATCTGGGTTACTATAAATTTCTTTTGTAACTGTAAGAGTTATGCAGAACCATCTCTCCTCTGCATCTAATCATATTCTCTTTCTAATAGATTTAGAAAAAAGATTTTTATCTTCTAACGTTCATCCCTGTTTAATATGTTTCCCCATAAGCTTGTTACATGAATTAAAGCTCCAATCCTTCAACAAGTTATACATCACATCAAGGGGAACCTAGTTAAATTTTCTTTTCACTTTTACAGTAGCAGGATGAAATGTGCAGAGACACCCTGAGCACACCACTGCCTTGGACTTGAGTATAAGTGGTGGATATGTGTGTGGGGGGGGGGGCAGGGTAGGGGTGGTGGTGGTCAGTGCCTGCCCCTCCAGCCCCTGCTTCCCCTGACACTTACTCTGGTTATGG